GTTATTATTTACACTCTAATATCCTGGCTTGGTAGCTTCAAGTAATCACAGAGTACACGAGTTTCCCTTTATGACATCAATGGTGATGGAGTTGGCAGGAGAACATGCATTTATGGAAGAAGGGAAAGCTGGAGATAACTGAGAAATGAGTATCATTTTCAGAGTGTAGATTTTATAATTGAACAATTCCTATCACAAACCAATAACAGCACTTAAGAATTTTCTAAATAATGCTTACTCTTTTCAATTACAAAATAAAATATTGCACAAAATATTCATCATGACTTCAACATAGGGATAAATGCAACTGGCAGGAAATAGTAAAATTTCAAGCTACATTTAATCAGGAGTCTTGTGTAAATGTGTGTTAGCACCTAACTGAACTAATCGCTAAACCTAAGATAATTTCTTTGCTTAGTGAAACCTAAACACTTCCAAATGGTTATTAAAGCTCTAACATAATCATGCAAGAAATAGTAAATTTAAATTCACAAGGATTAGTGAGAAATAATTTTCCTACTCTGTAAGGGTTAAGCAAATCAAAATAAGCCAAAGTCCTGCCCGTCCATAATACAGTAATTATTATTGTGATGAACAACAAGTTGCTGAATATACTGAAATACATTACCCAACAAGTAACAATTGATTAATGGCCAAAACACCTGGAATTTCTCTATGCAGGAAAGTGCACGACTGCTTTAGCAATAACATTTACCACACTTCAATGAGCAGTCTCATCAATCTTATTAACTACCATTGTGTGGATTAATATAAGACAGCAATTTAAAGAATGCATACACTATTGAATACTATATTCTGCTGAAAATAGCAATTTGGGAAACATTATAGGCAACTTATACGAACTTCTGAAACAAATCGTGGAGTTGATTATAAAGTGAATTCATTCAAATTATAATGGTCAATAAAATATTGTTATTAGTCCACCAATATTAAATGATACTACTGTTTTATATACCATGTTACTTTGCCAATAAGATCACCATCAGACTAGCAAATCCCCTTCTTTAACAAAAGAATTACCTACGCTCTCACTGACAAAGACATTAATGTTACAAATATATTAATACTTTGATTAAATGGAGAATGACTAGCAAAATGTGACCTTGGCTTATTTCTTGAAATATCATTGTATTTCTAAGTGAATGAAGATCATGTAAACTTTCTTTCAATGAAAATAATATTAGAAGACTATTATTCAAAACATTCCCAATTATAATAAATATCCTCCTCATTGTTTACCAATACTCCTGCTAATTTCTGATATAGAAGCAAAACATTTTTCATTAAATAAAACTTATAATGGTTAGGGCTAAATACTTTACCAAACTTCTAATTATTTATGCAAATTACTGAGAGAAAGATTAATGAAAGTGTGCAGCTTAATTATTCATTAGACAACTTTTTGATCAGGCTGTTCCACTCATTATATAATTAATGAAATCAACGTACAAGGCCTACTATGCTCACCTAGTGTCTCATAACTCATCATCATCATCACATTGCTATTAAAAAAAAAAATAGTCAGTGGAGGTGTTAATGTTGTCAGCTTGGATCTTATCAAGCCAATGGGACGATAAAGACATAATTGAATAATGTAAATTTTATATTCAATTAGGAAGAACCATGGTTCTAATGGTGACAATCAAAGCCACTTGTGGCCCATTCAAACCATTACTGATCACACACCTATACAGATTGAATTATATGAATTCCTGTGAATTATTATACATTTTTGTGTTGCCTTGCATGTGCTTATATTTACAACAAATATGAAAGAATACAACAGTGATCCAATCAAAACACAACACAAAATGGAAGGACATATACCAAACAATTTTATGCACTAGTAATTAAAAAAAATCTATATTTATATAATTAAAAAAAAAAAGATTTATAAAACTATCAGAAGTCCAAGTGCTTAAATATTTTTGCAGTTTTAACATTTTAGTCTTCACAAGCAATGGCAACTTATTTGGTCAAAAATTAAAACAAACAATAATATAAAAAAACTTTGCTGTAGGCATTACTACTAAATTTCTGAAAAACATACAAAGAAATGCTGAAATTCATATCTAGATCATAGAAACTAAATAAAAGAAAATTTATATAGGCATTGCTGCAACACTAATAATTAGTACTGTACCTTCATAATCTGTAACGGTTAAACTATACAAAACAACACATAATTCTTCATTATTTAGACATTAGTTAAGTAGTTATTCAGCCTAATACTTAATAAAACTATATAATAAAAGATAAATGATGAGCACTTTGTATTTGTCTACTTTGACTTCCTTCACTTTCCTTCCCACCTCACCACTCTGCACTGAAGGGAAGACATCAGGGTCAACAGGACAGAAGAAACCTCTCACAAAAAAATAAATGCAACTTAAATGAAAATTCATTGTGCAATTTTTTGACAGTCAGTCATATTTCTTTTTACTAACTACAACCAGCCAATTTTATTGACATAGAAATAACAATGAAAAATCCATGATTTTTCATACAGGCATTTATTTTTGTAACACTTAGAAACATGATAAGAACATGAACAATGCAAGTGAAGACAATTATCCTTCTTAGGATGAAGCATGACAAAATTTTTCAGGCAAAACTTCCCACTAACAGAATGTGACTTTAGTGCAAATTAATTTTTCATTCAATGCCAGCTGAATTTAATCAAGTCAATTTATCAACTTAATTTCACTATTAACTTAACATTATTGTAATCTTTTCTTCTGATATGTTAACAATTACACCAACAATACAGTAGTTATGGTATACATAGACCTCATACCAAAGGCCTTGAATAACAGTACTGAACTTAAGGCCATCTTCAAACTTTCAGATATGAAGGATTCATCACTCAATATAGCAACATACCTTGCACTGAAAATTTCTACACACATTCATGCATATGTTTAGGCTGCCACAGTATTATCAACTTCAATAACCATAGCCATTTACTAACATTACAGTTAATTATTACAATGGCAAATTAAATAATGCTGAAACGAACATCCGAATATCCATGAATTAATAATTTTGGATGAACATTTGAATTCAAATTGCGTATTCGAATATTCGTTTTACCTATCACTATGAAACAACAAATTAAAATTACGTTTGGAACTGAGATCGAAGTCGTCTATCATACACACTGGAAGGCAAAATCATTGGAGACAATCCCTGATTTCTTCTACTGTGATAATTCCTAAATTCTGGACATGACCAGTCACCATTGTAAACATTGAATGTTTGCTTTGTTGGTTAATGGCTGTCTGGGTTTCACATGATTCAAGACAAGAGAAAGGCAGAATACCAACTATGCAAAGCCATGTTTGATCAAATTAAAACATCCAGCAATTGCACCAATGGCAGATAAAACAGTCTAGTATAAGCTACTAATCCTCACCATCATTTCTCATTTCTCTTTTTCTTAAGAGTAAACGGCACTTGCCCAAAACGTATAGAAAAGAACCGTAGAAAAAAAACAAAAGCAGGGGTGAAAGGTTGGTTTAATGACTGACCATTGCCTCTCCATAGTTCCTACCCCCATTTAGTCACGCTCCAGTAAACTACCACCATCACACTAGCAAAATATCCACACCATTACCTCAGCCATTTCATATACTCGGCATGAGAAAAAGATGAGAGCATGAGAATTAGTATGTCTGGAAAATTTTTAAATTTAAAGTGATCATATTTATTATTGACTTTAAAAACATGTTCAAATGAGAGCAAGTGCTCTCTCTCTGCTGAGCCAAGTCCCATCCATATTTTATTTATATATATATATATATATATATATATATATATATATATATATATATATATATATTTATATATATATATATATATATATATATATATATATATATATATATATATATATATATATATATATATATATATATATATATATATATATATATATATATATATATATATATATATATATATATATATATATATATATATATATATATATATATATATATATATATATATATATATATATATATATATATATATGTCGTACCTAGTAGCCAGAACTCACTTCTCAGCCTACTATTCAAGGCCCGATTTGCCTAATAAGCCAAGTTTTCCTGAATTAATATATTTACTATAATTTTTTTCTCATGAAATGATAAAGCTACCCTTTTCACTATGTATGAGGTCAATTTTATTTTATTGGAGTTAAAATTAACGTAGATATATGACCGAACCTAACCAACCCTACCTAACCTAACCTAACCGATCTCTATAGGTTAGGTTGGGTTAGGTAGCCGAAAAAGTTAGGTTAGGTTAGGTTAGGTAGGTTAGGTAGTCGAAAAACAATTATTTCATGAAAACTTGGCTTATTAGGCAAATCGGGCCTTGCATAGTAGGCTGAGAAGTGAGTTCTGGCTACTAGGTACGACATATATATATATATATATATATATATATATATATATATATATATATATATATATATATACACACACATACATACATACATACATACACACACCACTGTCTTGGCTCTTGCTAAACATACAGGTAATTTGTGCTAGATGACAAACACAGCGCCTGCTATAAACACAAAGCTCCATAGCTATGATTCAAGTCCAAATACAACACTGTTAACATCATCCAAATTAAGTGCACAAGTAAAATAAATAATATTACAAAACATATTAACAAGAGAATAATTGTTTTCCTCTATGCCAATGAAGACAAGTTACTGTACTTGGGCTGACGCTGCCAGTAGATACAATCACCTACAATTATCACCAATATTTAAATACCAATTTGATGTCAAATATTCGAATAGCAAAATTATGTATTCGTTTCAGCACCAAAATTAAGTTAGGCACACATAGGGCAATTAATGTGTCTGACACAATGGCAACCACAGTGCCTACTGCAATGGCAACCACGGTGTCTACTGCAATGGCAACCATAGTGTCTACTGCAATGGCAACCAGTGTCTACTGCAATGGCAACCACGGTGTCTACTGCAATGGCAACGACGGTGTCTACTGCAATGGCAACCATAGTGTCTACTGCAATGGCAACCATAGTGTCTACTGCAATGGCAACCATAGTGTCTACTGCAATGACAACCATAGTGTCTACTGCCATGACAACCACAGTGCCTACTGCAATGACAACCACAGTGCCTACTGCAATGACAACCACAGTGCCTACCACAATGACAACCCAGATCAAGAACAATCAACTGTGGTTATCATACCATTCAAAGGTAGGTATTTAATATACTGCAATTTTTTAAATAATAATAAAATAATATCAAAATTATTAAAAGTCACAAAGTAAAGTTCAAATAATTATATGCACCACACACGAGCTAAATTTGAAATTTAGGAGACATTTTTTTCTTCAAAAATAAACAAGTAACAATGATAGATTTGCTGTTTAAACAACATCCTGGATAAACAGAGACTGGCTATAAAAAGTAAAAAACAACATTTTAATTCAGCGATAAATTTTATTTTTGAATAAAAACGCTTTGCCATTTTGATAATTTTTTATGTCATGTTAATCAGAATAATGGAAAAAAGCTCTTATGAAAAAAATGAGTTAAATGAATTTAAGTGAATGAAACAGCTTGGACATGATAATGGCAAACAGTTCACCCCTGCACTGAACATGTAAGGTCGTCCCCAGTGAGACAGCTTGGACATGATAATGGCAAACAGTTCACCCCTGCACTGAACATGTAAGGTCGTCCCCAGTGAGACAGCTTGGACATGATAATGGCAAACAGTTCACCCCTGCACTGAACATGTAACATCATCCCCAGTGAGAAAAACTCTTTCATTTTAGTTAATCCAGGATATCCAAAACACAGGTAAAACATGTCAGTACTGAAAATACAGGTTCTCCACACGATGAACAAGCCAAGATTTTCTTATTTTGTAAAAAGCCCGTCACACTATGAACCAACTGGATTCTCCACAAAATGGACAAAGCATGTTATCAACACCGGACAAACCAGGACATCCATAAGGGCTGTAAAACAACCTCACACAATATCAGGCAAGCCTTAATGAAGGTAAACTAAGCCAAAACAAAACTGATCACAATAATTTCTACCAGTCAAAATAATTTTGCTTAATTCTTACTTGCCTAAGGAGCTATTCAGGCATTTTAGCATTATTCAGAATCCTTAGACATCTGTATTATTTGTGCAATAGTAGCAACTCTATACCTCAATAATTAGTAGTGGTTCATTAATAAATGTAACTGTCAGCATTTCTGAATGTCCATGTTTTGCAAGTAAGTTTTTCTATTATACATGTGTAAGTGGTGAGTGTCTGGTCATTACAGGCCATGCATCATGGCCTCCATATTATATTTTGCATGCTTCTGTGCAAATAAAAAGAAAACACTATTTTTAACATCCTCAAAACACTCCAATGTGACCATACAATTATTCTTACCTGTACACATCAGAATTTGTATCATTATAAAAGATAATTCTATTATTAATATTCGAACATATAAAAGCACGAAGCTGTATCTCTGATATGATTCTTTTCTCTTACACTCTCAGTATTACCTCACAGATATCTGATGGTAACAAGAGATTAAAAGGTAATTTGGGAGGTAATTACGTCCAAGAGGAATCTAACTCATAAGTTTCCAGGCCATTATTAGATTTCTCACTTTTTTTAAGTAAGAAAAGCAAAACTTTAGCATGACCACTTTGGGATTTGTGCTTCCAAGTTCCTTTTTGGGATCTTAGTATTATCTATCTTACATCAGTTTTAAAAGTTTGCTTTGGGCTTGCAAAAACAGCCCATTTTACATCAGGACATACTTTCCAATACTGTGTGAATTAAAGATATTAAAAAAAAAAAAAAAAAACTGAAAGGAAACCGACATGGACTGAATTACACATAGCTGAGACCAAGAGACCAACTTCTTCATTTGTGGTACTCACCTCATCAGCGAGTACCATTTGTGGTACTCACCTCATCAGCGAGTACCATTTGTGGTACTCACCTCATCAGCAAGTACCATTTGTGGTACTCACCTCATCAGCGAGTACCATTTGTGGTACTCACCTCATCAGCGAGTACCATTTGTGGTACTCACCTCATCAGCGAGTAGTACCATTTGTGCACCCACCTCATCAGCGAGTACCATTTGTGGTAGCCAGCTCACCAGTAGGTACCATTTGTGATACCTCTCCCGTCAGTGAGTACCATTTGTGGTACCTAGCTAACCAGAAGGTACCATTTGTGATACCCCCTCCCATCAGTGAGTACCATTTGTAGTAGCCAGCCCACCAGTAGGTACCATTTGTGATACCCCTCCCATCAGCGAGTACCATTTGTGGTACCTAGCTCACCAGTAGGTACTTTTTGTGGTATCTACCCCATCAGTGTGAACCATTTGTAATAGCCAGTTCATGAGCTGTAGTATTTGTGGTAGCCAACTCGTCAGTGAGTACCACTTGTAATAGCCAGCGCATCAGTGGGTACCACTTGCAATAGCCAGCGCATCAGTGGGTACCACTTGTAATATCTAGTGTATCAGTGGGTGCCAATTCAGGCAACATTTTCAGAGAACTCAAACATTCTCTCATCTAAATCATTTTCTGTAAGTTGCAGAATTTGGAAGTCAAATGAACTGCACTGATGAAGTTATTCTGCACAACACTGATGAAAACAATGGGCTTAATACCATTAGGTTTATAAGTCTATTCAATATAGTCCTCCTAAAATACAATGCACTTCCTCCTGTTCCTCCTATGTCCTGGCTTAATCTTCCCACGATGTTCCCTCTGAAAAAATGTAATGATTTAATGCATAATATATATAAATTAAATGAAAAATACATAGTAAAAAACCAGCACTGAACATAATGAAACGCCAATTTCTTTTGGAGCCACGATGGCTCCCTGATGCTATAATGCAGATATAGTGCCAACTACTAAGTGCTATCAGTTGCAGAATTCTTTTAGACCTGCTGGGGACCATGAGCTAGAACCTGGCCCTCCTCTAAAGAGCATAGAGATCAGTGGTATTATGATCAAATTGTTAGCGAATTTTAATCATGTTGCTACCACCGCACCCTCAAAGCAGCAAGTCAAAACAGATCACTACTGGTTATATGGAAATATCGATGTCTCAAACTCGCCAAAAGAACTCCCCCAACTATGTAAACAAACTATTGAAAAGTTAAGAAACTAGCACAAGCATATTTGCCCCCCCCCCCACTCTTTCCTCTTTCTTGGGGGAAGAAGGGAGGCAGACCAGGTCAGCTGGCTGTTCCACCCTCAGTTCTATGATGATGGAAATACCACCCCTGACTCCCTGTAGGAGGGTGTTAGGGAGCCACCAGGGCTCACCCAGAAATTGTCCCTGATGCTACCTACCCACCTGAAGGAAAAGATGGAGACTCTCCAAGTACATCATCAGACCGATAATTGGAAAGAGGCAGAGCTGTGGGAAAATGGCCGGGCTCCAACACAGAACAAGCAGCACCTGAAACAAAGGCTGGGCCAAACACCAGGGAGCCAGAAGGATCACCCTCCCTGTATAGGACTCCAATTTTGCCAGGACCCGCAGCAAGAGCTGGACCCGAGTAAAAGGTAAAGAAACCCCCACCTCGACTGGTACAGTTGAAAGACCAGTGGGAGGAAGTCGCCAAACCTATGCATGCAAGAGAGCCAAAATATAGAAACGATGTAGTAAGCCAACACAGCAGCTGCTTGTATGGCTGTAAAGACCAACCTCGACGTGGTATAGTGTAGAACACTGTAGATCATGAGAACCAGTGCACCCCAAGCCAACCAATGTCACTTCTGACCCGAGTGAAGGTAGGGAAATTCAATGTTACCCGACACCCTGGGCCAGGGTTGCAACTAGCAAGGAGCACCCCTAAGGGAGCAACTCTCGAACACTTCACGGATGATAACCCTGTACACATACAGCTCCAAGCACTGATGATGTCCAGGTTCGTGCATCACTGCACAGTGTACAGGAATGTCCCAAATGGAAAAAATCCCAAAGGCAAAAATCAGCGCCAGAACCTGATCAGAGCTTATAGAACCAGTAAGCCTATAGAACTCTGCAGTTGATCTGATCTAATAGTTGGCACAAAATCAGTGATCGTAGCTTCAGGGAGCCACAAGGGGCTTCCCTCTAGAAATTCCAGGTGCGAAGAGCTGAGAAGACTGAACCAGCAAAGTTTATTACCTAACTGACCTGAAAGAGGGAATGCTGTGGAAAAATTCCATAAATCAAGGCCAAGCCAGCCACCAGGGAACCAGAAGGATAACACTTCCTCTGGTAGGACTCCAGCCTGGCAAAGACCTGGAGTAACAGCAGGACTAGAGGAAGAGAAGAAGTACAGGAACCCCCATCTCGACCAGTCCAGCCGAAAAATATCGATCGGGATGGTTTTGCGATCAGGGAACATCGCATACAGGAGAAAGCGCTGATTCCATGCCGGTATAAAGGAGGTCCAAATCCGGGCACCTGTATGTCTTGCAAAGCCAAAGGAAGGAGGCAGCATCGAAGGTCTATTCCATGGAAATGGGACGGAATTGGGACAGACCGTCTGCAAGAGTTTTGGATGCTCCCTGAATGTAAAAAACCAGCATTGAATGTAATGAAATGCCATTTTCTGGGAGAGTCCCGGAGGCTCCCCTGAGCTATCCAGGCTTAATGGATATGTTTAACTTTTTGGCATCAGTCAAGTGCATGGAGTTCTTGCTTACCGGGGATCTCGAGCCAGAACCTGGCCCCCTCAGAAGAGGCACGAGGAGCAATGGCCTATAGAGACCCCCGTGTGATTGGGAGCATTCTATGTCTGCCATTGACCGGAACAGGCACCCAGAAAGGTAGGCGCCCTAAAACCAACCCCTATTCTGGTAAAACTATTGCTACCGAAAGCCGAACAAGTGGATAGAACTCCCCAAACGAAAATTAGCAAACAAGCATGACGTCATCACATCACCATGGACCATGGGCAAGCCCCAGACCCACCCGCCGGCAACCCAACCTTCAGTTCTTAGGCTGGATGCCAAAAGACGAGAAAAACACCGCCGACCAGAGGGGAGGGAGGGATGCCAGGGAGCGTCCGGGACTCACCCAGAAAATGGCATTTCATTACATTCAACATTTCATTACATTCATACATTCATTAATTCATTACATCCATGTTGGGTCCCCAGACCTAACTACCCACAGATAGGGAAAAACGGGGACTTACTCAGGAGACGGTCCGTACTCACCCCTCAACGGGAAGCTGAGACAACTGGCTGCAACTGCTGACCCAATGCAACACAGGCACTATCAGGCCCAGGGACATTCACAAGGTAGTAAGCAGCCAAGACCCTGTTCGACCTCCAAAAACCCCGGGCCCGAATGTCAACCCAAGACATGTCGCCAAAGACGGCAGCCAATGCAGCAAACATACGCATGTCATGGACCCGGGGATAGACCGCAGGCTAGTTAGACTCAATAACCCTGCGGATGACCTGAGAAACCCGAGCCCAGGAACAGGGAAGAAGAGAAACCGGATCAACCCAAAGTGCACCCCTGACCACCGAGGCTGTGGCGCGCAAATAATGGCGGAGAGCCACAACCGGATATAAGACATGATGCACCCCCAGCCTGACCAACCAAACAACAACGGCCCAAGGACCCCTCCAGAACGCAGCCGTTTCATTCTTCACCAGAAAAGAAGGAGACGGCTGCAACCGAAAAAACTGACCATCAGGACTGAAGGAGCAGAAACCCCTGCGCTGGAGGAGAGCATGAAGCTCCCCGACCCGACCCCCCAGAGGCCAATGCCAACAGAACGGCTGGCTCTGTTTTTCCAGAGCCTTGGAAAAACAATCATGGACTGAAGGGGCCACAACAAACCGAGGAGAAGAAATAAAAGACAGCACCTGGTCAAGACAAGAATGGCTCAGGAGGCGCATGAACAGGCCGGAGGTGGAACAACACAGACAGTTTGTGGAACGGGGCAGAAGTAACATCAACACCGAAAGCAAGCTGAAGCGGCTCCGCCAGCGCCGCACGATACGAGGCGACAGTATTCAGTATAAAATAACAGTCACGGAACAACCAAGAAAGGAAGGACAAAACAACCCTATCAGAGACCGAAGATACCTACGCAGAGATAAGAAAAAATGGAAGGACTGCCAGGAAACTTCACACTGTTGTCGAGACGAAGTCAGAGACAAGACGAAGTTGGTGGGAGACCAACAATGAAGCCACCTGCGCACCATACAAGTGATGACTGACAAGAGTCAAAAACTCCAAATGTGAAGACTCGAGGAGAAGACCGAACCAGCCTCGTACCAGACTGGCCCATTCTGCTGAAAGAGGCGGAGCTGCGGGTAGACCCTCAGGTTCGGACACCGAGCAAGCAGCACCTGAAACCAAGGCTGGGCCGGCCACCAAGGAGCCAGGACAACTCTTCCCTGGTAAGTCTCCAAGCGTGCTAGGACCAGGAGCAACAGCCGAACTGGGGGAAAGAGGTACAGGTAACCCCACCTCGCCTAGTCCAGCCAGAAGGCATCGACCCTGACAGCCTCGCAGTCGGGGAAGGGTGCTACGTATACCGGAAGACGCTTCAACCACACCGACATAAAGGGATCCACATCTGGAGTTCCGAAAGTCTGGCACAGCCAACTGAAGGAGTCGGCGTCAACCTTCCATTCCGTGGAAAGGGGGAAGGAAATGAGACAGGCCATCTGCCAGGACATTGGACACACCCTGAACGTGAACCGCCAGGAGAGCCAAACCCCAAGAACTCGGTAGACGAGTCACCTGAAGCGACCAGCTCCAAAGAGCCAAAGACCACATCGAACCCTCACTGTTCAGGCAATGAACTAACGGGGAGCAGTTCGAATGGAGCTGGACTGTCGATTCGCGAGCGACTCGAACCCTCCAGAGTGACAGCCACAATGCTGCGAACTCCCAGATTGTGCTGTGACCCTGACAGAAGGGTGGACCCCACCACCCCTGGCCAGCCTGGCGAGCATGGTCACAAAACCCCAGCCAAGAGATGACACATCCGTATGCACATCGAGCGAGGACTCGGGTAGGCACCAAGGCACTGAATCCCGAAAAACCCGAAGAGGAAGCTGGCGACGCAGCCACCGACGCAAAGCCCACAGAGGCCGAAATGAACGGTCACGAGAGAGGCGGAAGGGACGTCCTTGAAGGAACCAGAACAGCCGATGAAGCCACACCCGACCCAGTGGGTAGACCATCATGGCAAAGTTCAGACTCCTGCACAAACTCTCGAGCAACCGCCTCGTGACACGGGAGCCTCTCAGAAACAGACGAAGGCGGGAACGCAGGAGAAGCTGAGCCGCCGGAGGAAGAGACAAGGAAGCGGTACGAGCGTCCCAAACCAGACCCAGCCAAGACTGAACCTGAGAGAGAACCAGATGGGACTTCCTCCAGTTCACCAGGAACCCGAACCCGGTGAGCTGGGAAAGAACCAAATCCCTGGCGAGCAGACACACCAGGGAGTTGGGAGCCCAAACCAGCCAGTCGTCGAGGTAGGCCAGAACCCTGAACACCTATAAGATGCAGGCGGGCCATCATGACTCGAGAAAGGCACATGAAAACGCGAGGCGCCAGATTCAACCCAAAGGGTTGACAGCGAAAGTGGTAACCACAACAAAACCGAGCCAGTCCCTGAACCTCGGATGAACTGGGATGTGCCAATACAAGTCTTTGGGGTCCAGGGACATCATCCAAGTGCCCAGCTCCAACAGAAGACGGACCTGGGACAGAGTAGACATCCTGAAGGAGGGGCAATAAACCCACGGGTTCAGATGGGACAAGTCCAGAATGAACCGGAGGTTCGCAACAGTCCCGTTTCGTGACTGGAAACAAGCGGTTCCCAAGCAAACCCACTCCGAGATGACCGGACAGAGAGCAGGAGAAGAGGCCTGCCCCACCAGCCCCGAACCTCCCGAGGGAGGAGGAGTCAACCCAATGCCACCACAGGCTGCACAAAACAACCCAAAAAGCCCATGAATCGTGGGACCAGGCACAAGCAAACAGGGTGAGGCTCCCCCCCATCGCCCCGTCAATGAGACGAACCGTGAAAGGACCGATGCACCTTACGAGAACTAAAGTGGCGGACAGGGCGATCCCCACGTCGACCAGAAAAAGACTTGAACTAGGGGGTTCGACTCTAAACTATATACAGTTTAAACTGTAGACAGTTTAATGAGGAGTTTGCTTTCATTTCTTTTCTTTCTGTGAAGCTTGCAGTTGTCTGTTTTGTTTAACTTACTTTCTGAATGGTTCCTTGGTGAAGTTGACTAACAATTCTTTGCTCCCTACACCTCTGTCATGGGGGGAAATGTCCTGGCTCTGGTCCCTGGTAGGCCATTAAGGACTCTTAAGGTTGATGTGACTCCTATGTGAAGCTATTAAGTAAAGTAGCTACTGGAACCACTGTTCACACCCATCACACTGTTAAAAAGGCCATCTTAAAATACTGTATTGTATAGTATATGAGAATGCTACTACAAATTGAACACACTATCCTAATTTATTTTGGAAGTCAGTACAAATTTAAATGAGATACAGTAGTAATAACCTTAAAAGAAAATGTGGTAATACATCAAACTCATACTCACATCTTTCCTGATCTCTCTAACTAAAGTATAAAAGGCATCGTCAACACCCATGCGGGTCTTGGCAGAGGTCTCTATGAAAGGAATGTCGTAATTCTTAGCTACTTCGCGTGCCTGCTGCATGTCCATAGCCCGCACTTGTAGATCACACTTGTTGCCTACCA